GAATTGCAACATCTGAAGATGGTATGGATTAGAAGACACGGTCGGAATTCTCGGTCGCCCACAAGAACTGGTTTGGAGAGGAGGCTTGGCACACTACGCTACACATCCTTTTTCTTTCTCTTCTTTTCGACACACATAATCAGATTAGCGTAGTTATGTCATCGCCGGTTGAATTATATTTTTCAAGTCATTCCTTTTTATTTCTTTAACCCATGGATTTGAAAATGATGTCACGCAATCATCAGAAGAATCGCCAAACCAAGGAGAATTTGAATATATTGTTTGAATTTCCAGAATATAAAAAGCACTGATATTGAAAGTCAAAGACCTAATTCACATTTTAAACTGAAAAAATAAAATTAATCTCTCAATTATATATAAACATATTTTTTTCAAACTTTAGCATTAATTTGCTCAAAATGATAAAAATATCACTTAGATCCCTTGTGTTCCAGGGTCCACATTTATTATTCTTAAGGGTTAGAGGGCTATGATAAGAGGACGTGTAATTGAGGGGACAAAAGCCCCTGTGGATAAATCAAACATATCAGGATTACAGCTAGGACCTGCGCCTAGAATAAAATGATATCCTGAGAAATTGAGGAGAGAACTAAAGTGTATATTGGATGGAACCGAAGAAATTAAAAAAGGCAATTGAAAATGATATGATAAAGTTAATTGAAATGTAATAGAATTCAAAATACTTTTATAAACTAGTTCAGGAATTCACTGATAATATAGAAGGTCTTAGGATCATGCTGGAAGACACTATAAACCATATTACAAATCGGCGTTCAAAAATAAAGTTAACAAAGCTTCTTAATAGACATTGGGACAAGGTTATTAACGCGGAAGATAGCTTGGACAATTAATTAGTCCACCAAATAGTATAACATATATCTATAAACCTTTTTCTTTTTTAAATATAAGTTTTAAGATGATGACAAAAACTACCAAAACATTAATTACACAGTGGAACTATAATAGGTATTACAAACATTACGAATACTTTAAATTATTACTTACATAACAGACACATTTTTTGGAATCCCAGATAGTAAACAAAAAATATTATAATGAATTTTCTTGAAAGAGAATGCATACTTTCTGAAAAAGTCATAAATTTCTTATGGGTTCGATCACATTTGGGGATTGGGAGAAATGAGGAAACCGCTAGGGTCGCGAATGCCTGGTGTCGTACTTGGCCCTGGTACCGAAGTGACGTATGTCAATAAGATTACTCCCCAAGATTGGGGTGACTACGCAAAGAAAAGAATATATGAATCATAGACCACTGAGTGAATCCGAAGAGGCACAAAATTAAGAAGCATTAAAGATAGACCTGAGCTTTGGAACTGCCGAAAGAAGAATACGATGCGAGGAAGTTTTCCTGATAAGGATGCATAACGAACTACATCTATATCGCATACGTATCTCCTAAAGGGACCGTGCCCTCCGACCTGCAAGACCTGCGAGGTACTTCCCTCCCACCATGAAACACATTCTGCTGGACTGCGAAGTCCTAATTGACGCAAGGAGAGATTGCAACATACATAAGAAACTAGAAATCACTCTTGGTAACATTGAGACTGCTGTTGAAAATTTAATTGTTTTTAAAAATTAAATTAAGTTTTCAAAACATTCTTACTAAAACCTATTTGGACTTCCGTATCACAGATATTTGAAATAGCTAAAAAGACTCACATAAACAAACTTTAAATCTTTCAAGCAAAAACACTCAGGACAATCACAAAAGCACCTTGGTACGTTAGCAACATAACCTTACATATTGACCTCCATATGCCGACTGTTAACGAACTCATTACAAGCGATTTCAGGACAACTTACAAGGACATCCTAATACACTCATAAATGGCATGGCCACTGTGCAAATCCAGGTAATGTCTGTATTAGGCTGAAGAGGACCTGGATGAGAAACCTCCTCGCCTAATGTAAATACCAGGCCTAATGTAGTACAACGGTCATCTCATTCACTGGTTGTCATTACCATTATAACAGGTGTTAAAAAAAAGTTTCAAAAGCATCTAAATACTATAGTCTTATTTAGTCAAATCAACATATTTTATATTTTAAACAGAATTATAGGCATCATTTATCTGTGTTCTCATAAAATATGTAGTTTATTAAGATACCGTTACAATGTATTACTCCATGTTAAAAAAAATTCTAAATTGTATCTACCAATGCAATGTTGTATGCTAATGACATACTAATGTGTAGATGCATTTGCTAAAATAAATAAAAAAATAAAAACGTCCTCTTCCTCTCTTATCGTCTACTTTAGATCGATAGGTTTCGCTAGCTATTCTGTTTGGTTCCATCCGCAGAAGATGTCCTAGCCATCTCAGTCGATTCTCCTCAATCACATCATTGGCCGGCTTAATATTGAGGTTCGACCTGATGGTGGTGTTGCGTACTCTATCTCTTCTCGTTTTCCCCTCAATCGTACGGAGGAATCGCATTTCTAACGCTTGTATCTTTGATCGATGTTACATTGTCAGCGTCCATGATTCTGAAGAGTACGTTAAAATGGAAAGAAATGTCGATCTGAAAACAGCTACTTTTGTTTTCTTTTCCACCTCGCTCCTGTTCAAAAAACCTCTCTTAACTGCCTCAAACATCCTGCTCGCAGCAGCGATTAGCTCAGTCACCTCTGAATCGATGTATCCATTTTCATTAAGGTGTGCGCCCAAGTATTTAGAAGTTTTCTACCTGCTCGAAGATTTTGTCTTCGACTCTGATGACGCGCATATTTCTTCTAGGCTTCTTCCCAATCCTCATTACTTTCGTTTTTACAGGGTTGATAATCATATTAATCTTCTGCAATTCTTCTTTTAATCTATTAATATTGTACTGAAGATTCCTGTCACTGTCCGAAAAAATAACAAACGACGAATAACGAATTTTGGTTGGTTGGAGAATTCATTGACTCCGGACAGACACTGTCCGTTGTGTATGGAGGCTTCAACGCACACTCCAGAGGAATTTATTGACAGAAATATGATAGAATTTATGGAAAACGAAAGTTCAAAGCCTGCCTTTATGGATATAAAGGTAACCGCTCCCACCCTGATCTATTATTGGTGCACCCGCGAATAGCTGCGTTGATCTCCCACACAGTTGCCCCTCCACCTGGAGCATTTGGTCACAAAATAATGCTTGTATCCCTTAGTGGACACTCAAATTCAAGTAACAATTTAATACCTCGAATGCTCTGATGGAATTTAAAAAAGGCCAATTGGAAAATGTTCCCTCAGCTCACTGACACAGCCATTACTCTTGAAACCATTAGGGAGAGTGTATATACAAGCTGCAGGCGACTTCATGCGGCAATTCTCGAGTGTGCAAAGCGGTATATTCCCCGGAGATTTATGAAGAGATACATTCCATTTTAAAGTTATAATCTACAAAAACTAAAAGAAGGCAGGGATGCAGCAAGAAAAGATGTAAAAAGGTCAAGAAAAACGAAAGGCATTGTTAGGCTAAGCCAACTTAAAACAATCCTAAATTTGGAACTGCAAGCCACAGCAGAACCCCTTTCGAAACGGCGTGACCAAGCTGCAATGAGTCTTCACGATGAGAAGAACAAACCCAGAGTTTTGGGAAAAATACAAAATCCCAACTTACCAGCTCAAGACACAAGAATCATTCATGCTAAAGGCGAAGGCTTTGCTTGATCGACGGTGAAATATGCAGTGATCCTCATAGCCCTAAGAACACTATCAGAAAGGTAAGTTCAGAGCGCTGTTCTCTCGACTCGCAAGCAGCAATCCTCGCCATTACTGACTTGAATAAACTGTCCAGTGCTATCTTGGAGTGCGAATCTCTCCTCTACGATCAGATAGTCTCGCCAGGAGAGGAGCGGAATTGCCTCAACCAGTCCAATCGAATTCGTACGACAATCAGATTCAATTCGAAGAATGGTAAGGATAGTAGTGATGGAGGAAACAAAAAATATACACAAAGACAAGGTGGAAGGGAGATGTTAAGGATGTTTGGTAGAGAACCCGATTCCAGCTGACCTACCAAGAAGAGATGCAGTAGCCTGCTTCCGCCTGGCCACTGGTCACGACTATCTTCAAAGTCATCTGCACAAGATAGGCGTGGCTGAGGATCCGAGATGTAAATTATGTGAAAAAGCGGAAATGGATGCAGACCACCTAGATACATGTCCTGCTTTGACGAACATAAGAAATAAACCATTTGTGAATGAATATATAAAAAAAAATAAAACTTATACTGGGTAACAAGATGTCGGATGATCGAATGACCAATGACTACGTTATAGGGAAAAAAAATGTACTATGCCTTATATTAGTGTGTCAAACAAGTATCTTTTCTTTTCTTTAATTCGAAGGAAAAAGATTTACTAATCAACTAATGACTGTAAATATGAGTTCAAGTTTTTGGAGATTTGACAGTACCATATTATTGAACACTCGCTCAACTTATAAATTAAACATAGCATCATACCATATTGTAGCATTATGTCACACACGTCTACTGAATTCTTATTAGTTATTACCAACTTTATAATTCTTACTAAGAAATTATGCTCAAATAAAATTTTTATCATAAAATGCACAGAGCAAAGATTTGGAGATGTTAAGAAATAAAGGCGTATATCAATATCCCTAACCACCCCTCCATAAAATCACAACACTGTAAAAATGTGAAACATAAAAAAAAAAAAACATTTATGGCCCAACTTGCACCACGCAATCTCCTTCTGAGCATCTGTGGTTGGATGTACCATATTATTGAACAATCCAAAAACCAAATGAACATAAAAATTAAGGACTACATGATTCCATATTGCAGCATTTTGACGCACCCAATTTCTCAATTGTTATTAGTTATTACTAAATTTATAATTCTTACTAATAAAAAATTGGTACAAATAAAAGTTTTATCACAAAATGGAAAGGGTGAAGATTTACTGATGTTAGGAAAATAAAGGTCGATAATTTAAAAAACGAACATTTATTACAAAAAAATAACAACAAATGATATTTACAATGAAAGAGAAGGTTGAAACGTGGTGAATTCGAACTACTTGGGTATCGACCTGAAAGAAGAAATTCTATAAGTATTGAAATTCATGAAAATTATAAATAAGATATGATTAAAAAAATATATCCTATTTGTTAAAACTAAAATATAATACTTTTTACAAACACGGGAGAAGCAATGGCGTTGTGTATGTACATGTGCTACATTGTATATAAATTATATCACTAAAACATTTAAAAGAATTACCCAAAGTTTTTTATGAATGCAGTAAATATTCGACTAGTGTCCCAGAGCAGCGTGAGCGGCAGCTTTGTGTGCGAGGAAAGAACTTCCCAGCCCAGAGCTGACGCCACCTGCATAGAGCCCAGAGCTGAAGCCGCTACCATAATGTCCTGAACTAACACCACCGCCGTAGAGTCCGCTGCTGTACAGGCCGCCGCCGTACAAGCTGGATCCTCCAGAGATGACTCCAGACCCTAATCCATAGCCGGAGCCTAGACCATAGCCGGAACCAAGGCCGATTCCAGAGCCTAGACCAATACCGGAACCAAGGCCGATACCGGAACCTAGGCCGATGCCGGCACCAAGGCCAATGCCGGAACCAACTGCTAACAATAGAAATTTATTTATTAACAATAGAAATTTTGAAAAAATGTAAGGATTATATCGCATTGACTAATTCATACCAATCGGAGCAGCTCCAACTGAGACAGGTACTGCCTGCGGTACTGGAACAGGAACATTATTGACAACCGGTACAGGGACTGGAGAAGGTACTGGAACTGGAACAGGTCTTGGTACTGAAACTGTAACTGGGTGTGGAACTGGAACAGGCACTGGCCTATCGACTGTTACTGGATAAGGCCTGTTTACAGGAACAGGGTATGGGTGGTTGACTGGAACTGGTACTGGCCTATTGACTGGAACTGGTACCGGATGAGATACTGGAACAGGAACTGGTCGGTCTACTGGAACACTGACGGGCTGAGGCACAGGAACTCCAACCTGGTGATGAACTGTGACTTGACGAGATATAACTCCTCCACCGTATCCAAGTCCAGATCCCAAACCAATTCCAGAACCCAAGCCAATGCCTGAGCCTAAACCGATTCCAGATCCCAGTCCGATTCCAGACCCCAAACCGATTCCAGATCCCAATCCGATTCCAGAGCCCAGCCCAACGCCAGAACTCAAACCAACACCTGATCCCAGGCCAGAACCCAATCCTATTCCCGATCCATAACCAAGTCCAAGTCCAGATCCGTATCCATATCCACCACCATATCCATATCCGCTTCCGTAGCTTCCACCATATCCGTAACCTCCTGTATATAAGCTAGATCCTAATCCACCAGTCCCAAGTCCACCAGCGAAGATTCCTCTTTTTTCTGGTTTCTTTTTTTCCACTGCATCTTCAGCTAATGCGAGTGCAAGAATAGCACACAACAAAAATATTTTCTGAAAAAAAAAAAGTTTCACTCGGATGCTTTCCGTAGTTTATAATGTGTCTAAATAATATATTAATAATAATGTCTAAATAATGTAAATTATATAAATATATATAATTTAAACAGATTACTTGTTGTAAGAATTGAGACAATCGTAATTGAGTCTGTATTTTTTTGGACTACATATAAAATAAAAAAATACGGTAGAAAATGATATTGCTGATTATATTGAAGTGGTGTTTAATTATAATAATCAACACTTCCAATACATTACTATATTATTTTTATCCTTGTTATATTAATTTACGTTTAATTATTATCATTTTTTTATCTGTTTTTAATTTAAATAGATAGAATTCCATGACTTGTGACTTTAAATTTTAAAATTTCCAAATGCAACTTACTATTTGATTCATTTTGATTGTTAAGCTACTCTTGTGAAGATGTTGGAAGGACTGATGATCCAAAGAACAAATTCGCTTTATATATACGCCTGGGATTGGTCCTGACATTTGGCCAGAGACAAGAAGTGGACCGCCTTCTTTCAATCCACCCCCATTTATGTAACACCGCAGATAAATAAAAATTATGTAAAACTGGGAGACAGTCTTCATCTCCACCATTCTGTACAGTTTATAGTGTCGAGCCAGAATATGTTACACTATTTAACTTAGAAATAGCAACCAAATATCAATGTTTATAGACTATTGTTCACGCTAAACCAACCATCGAGGCTTTATGTATTAGATGGTTCAACAATTAAAATCATATATTAACAAATATATATAAGTTCTCATTATTTTCGAAATGGGGATTTAAATTATTCATCTAAAATCTAACTTTAATTTTTTTTTTTATCTGTTTATTGAGAACTAATACATTTTGCACACTTAAGGGTAGTGAGTACTAAGGCTGAGGCACATTCATACCATATATACAATACAATAAAAAAAAATATGTATATATCTATATAACAAAGGCAAAAACTATAATAAACCAAGGAAATGTAACTTAAGAGTTAAAATTAAATAAAATACAGAAATTCGTAGCAAAGTTAAATAAATTATAAGTAAAAGAAAAAAATAGAAAAACATTCATACTTAAATACAATATTTACAATCAGGCAAGAGATCTCCGAGTCCAGCTCTTTCCCCCAATTGTGAAGGACAAAGCGAGACTCTAAGAGATCCCAGCGCTTCTCTCTCAACTACTTCACCGGCATTACCAGTCCGGTGGAGACTGAGAAAGGACATTAAAACCACAAACACTCATGACTTGAGTGGAGAAGCTGGCCATTGCCAGAACTCCAGTGACGTCTTTACAAGAGATCTCGAGGCCACTGCCGTTTCAACCTTCGAGGAGGATTGTAGGGATGACTGGAGCTAGATAAGGATTGTGCTAAAGGGTTAGGATGGTAGATTAGGTTCATGTGAAAATTTGAGAATCGGGATGGAATAACGTCAAGGACATAAGTGATGTAGAGTTTTGTTTGTAACGTAATAAGGAGCATTGAACGTAAAAAGGATTGGATGCGTCATGTTCGAAAATTTAGTTGTCCCCCACAGTTCAAGTCCGTAGGTCCAGATGAATTTGAGTATGGTCTTGTATATTAATAGTTTGTTTTCTATTGAGAGATTGAATTTTCTGTTAAGTCATCTAAAATTAATGTTTTCAAAATCCTTGTCAATTTTATATTGAACCAGGTCTAGAAATTCATATATTACTGAAATAAACTATTGATCATTATCTATATGAATATTATTCATTACTTAGTTTAGTTTGAAAGCATTTTTACTTCTAAAGGATTTCAGGTATTTAATTCATTTATTGTTCAGATTGTTATATATATATGCAGGCAATTTAATTATGTTTAAGTTATTTTATTAATATTTATTATATAAACTTTTTTATTATTATTTAGTTGTTATTTTAAAATGAAATGAAATGAAATGAAAAAAGAATTTTATTCTGGGACTACTGTCCCCTAAGAATAATAACAGAGTTACAAATTTATGTATCTTAGTCTGGCATAATAAAAATACCAACTAATTTATTGTTAATCTTGCTTCTGTATTATTATTTTTAATTATACAGGGAACTTCTCTCTGTAATTATTTTGTGTCATTAAAGATCTTGAAGATCTACTTCTCACCTTAAGTAGCCTTCTCCAGTTCTACATATCTTGTATTTTTTTTAATAATTTGCATCTATAGTGCATCATTGTTCATTTGTTCTATCCATTTAGTTGTTGTCCTCTACGTTGACTCTGGTTTACTATTGAGGCATTCATTATTGTATGAATCCTCCTCTCTCACATCATATGCCTTACTCATATGCTATCTGCATGCCTTTATGTCATGAGATTTATTTTATTTTTTATAGATAATAGTTGGAAATTTCTCTCCAAAAGAAAGGATACAGGGTCACAAATTTTTATTGGTAATAGACATATGTGGAAGCCAGATATGGTGTGCTCGGGACCAAGCGGACACTTCATTATAGATGCACAGGTCGTCGGAGATAACCCTAGCACCACTCACTGGAACAATGTCAAATCCAATAAATATAGGGACCTAGATTGCAGGATGGCGATCGCGCGTACACTGGGAGTGCCAGGCGTGGACATAAAAGTATTCCCGCTCACAATAACTTGGAGAGAAATATGGTGCCGACGATCGTTCCAAGACATGGTTCCAAGACGATGAACGCCATTACAATGAGAGTCCTTAAATGTTTCCACATGAGTTACAGTAATTGCTTCAGGCTGCTTCCTCGTTTATAGCGTGATGATTATATCGATGCCATAAGTTACGTTTTTATTGTTTGTTTTTATAATCTATCTATTTATTTATTTTATTTTATTTTTATTTGTTTAATTTTATTTTTATTTGTTTTTTTTATTTTTTATTTACTTATGTATTATAGTATTACTGTCTTAATAATTATATTGCGGAGGGATTGCCACTTCCACAGTTTTTAAAATTACTTTATATATAGTGTGTATTTTATGTATGTATATGAATATATTTATATTTTTCTTTTATACTTTATACGACGCAGTTGCTTTTTGTATGTAAATGCAATGCTCAGTATATTATAACTTAATGTTAGTATGTTTCCTTTTTTTATATGATTCTTGGATTCCAATATCCAAGATAAAACGTTACAATGGTGATGGTAGCACCAAATTGAATTGGAAATTGAGAAAGTACCTGGAGTTTTGCTTATTTTGAAAAATGTACTAACTATGTATGAACTACCAAATAAATAAATAAATAGTCATGAGATTTATTTTATTTTTTTATAATTAATATTTAACAGAATATTTATATTGATTGCATAATTTTTGTGTTAATTCACATTACAGATTTATTATACTTGACAATCTTAGCTGAAAACGGAGAAACGACATTAAAACCTATTTTATTATAAAGAAGTTTATAATTAAATAATAAAATGTATAGAATTTTCCTAAGATTCAATTACAATTCATCTATTCAATAATTTATTTTTATCTTTATACAGATTAAAAACTGCAGATTTTACTCACCGATCCATGAGAAAGGAAGTGTTACCATAGACTTTAATTAATCTAGAAACTGTAGGCATCTACACCAGTACAGGTTCCCTTAAATATCGTTTGCAGTCATGACAAATAAGTCATAGAGACAAACTTGGTAATACATGGGGGTCGAGTTAAACGAAGACTGTATTATCTCAATCAGGTTGCGGGAAAAACATTACATATGTACTCTTGCCTGTTAGTGAAAAGCAAAGAACAGTGGAGGTATTCGTTAATAATTTATTTACCCACTGAATGGCTTTTCCATGTTTTGCTAACAAATTACGGACGTTATTCTCTCAATTAGATGCACTTGACCATGAACCCATAATGTGTATGAAAAAAGGAAGTATAATCCGCCACATGAACGCCGATCCAACCGCGGG